TGGCCTCGAACTCGCAATGATCCTCCTGCCTCAGCCTCCCAAGCATTGAGATTACAGACGTGCAGACCCTACCTTCTGTCCTGTAAAACTGAGACGTTGCCTTTAACCAGCCTCCTCATCCTTAGAAAACAAACACCAACACACTCTCACAACAAAGATCACACCATTTATTTACAAAGGCCAGTGTGGGTGTTGGGGGAGGTCGGGAGGGAAAGGGCAGACATCTCCGGACTGCTTGGGACCCTTTCCCACTTTGGAGCAGAATTCTGTTCCTCTTGCCTCCTCCGTATCATCAGCCAGGGGACCCTCCATGCCTGGGGGCTGGAGGGAGGTGATATGAGCCTCCTCGGTGCCCAAACAGAGAGCAATGTCCAGTTCCAGATTAAAGGCTTCATTGCCACCCTCCCCTCTCCTTCCTCAAAAAGAAGTCTGTGCCGGGGATGTAGATCAGTGGTCCAGCACTTGCCTTGCATGCGTGAAACCTTGGTTTCAATCCCCAGCACCACAAAAACCCAAACGAACAAACAAGCGAACAAAAACAGTTTCTGGCCTGGAAAGAAACAGTGAACAACTGAAAGGCCAAGGACTCTGAAGTGAGAAATCTCTCTGCTATTCCCCAAAGTAGTGACAGGAAGCGGTCAGTCACAGTCACAGCCTGACAGCTTCAGAAGGTACCCACACTGGTTGTTGGTGACCCAGCACGTAGAGGTTCAACGAACCCAGCTCTCCCGGATGTACTACTCCTGCACTAGACTTGCCCTATGACCTACTTGTCTCTGGTGAGAGAGACCAGAAATCAGCAAATAATCCACCCTAACACATACACACACACACACACACACACACACACACAAGCACGCTACCTCCCTGCTGAGACAGATCTCCACCCCTTCTTTGAAGGAAGTAGAAATGACTGTGGCAAGATACAGGTAGGTCCTGGGTTTATGGAAGCCTGTGTGTGTGTGCGTGTGTGTGCACATGCACGGGTGTGTCTGAGAGAGTGGAGCCGACATCACTCCTTGTAGTCTAAACTGCTTAGCTTTGTGGAGTCCCTGTCTTCAATTCCGATTCTACCGGGATCTTATTTCTCCTCTGGCAGGCCTGGGCCTGAGTTCTCCTGACTAGAAGTTCTACGAGCACTTCCACACTCCAACTGTCAATTCCAGACCCAAGCTTGCTCTTGCCCATTCTCGTCCTCCAAGAAATTCCAATCCCTCCTCATGCACGCCAGTCTACACTGAGCTGGGGCCAGGCCTGTTGACTCCTGTCCAGAGCGCTAAGTTTCAGCCCCCACCCACCCCCAGCCCCGGGACAAGGCAACAGGCATCTTCCGCTGTTCCTGGAAGTCCCCACACAGAAGGTGAGAAAGTGGTGGATGAAGTCACCAGAACAGAAGTTGAGGAGGAAAAACCAGAGCCTGGATCACCTGTCCCTCACCCTCGGAACGTGACATTCTAGGCTGGTTGGGCTGGGGTTGGGGAGGAGGCAGAAGGAATATAGTTACCAAAATCCATGTTAAAACAAGCTAAGCCATAGTGGTACTGGTGGAAGACTCTATTCTAGTCAGACAGCTGGGTCCTCCTCGACGCTGCAGTCCCACTGAGAAGTCTGAAGACTTTGAAAAGTGACTGTAGCAGGGAGGTGGGCCAATCAACAGAATTGCAAACTGTCCGAAGGGCTCTGCTCAGGGAGGACCAGGACAGAAGACTCTGTCAAGAGACAGCAGTAAAACTGAAATTCTCAGAGCTACAGGGCCGGGACCAGTGCCTCTAAAATCTCCCTGCTGTTAGGACAGGACAAGCGAGAAGGCAGAGGGACAAGCTGCGGAGGGCAGGGGCTGACAGAGGCACCAAAGGCTGGCACTGAGTCAAAGGAGAGGCAGGAGGCAGGGGCCAAGGGATTAGGAGAGCTGGGAGCCCAGGAGTCTCTCAATAGCTGCGTTGATGTCCCCTCCTGTAGCAATCAGGGCCTGCAGGTTGGCTTCACGATTAATGAATCCCATGGAGTTGAGCTGCTCCAGTTGCTGCTGAAATCTTACTTCTGGCGTCTGCACCTGGAGGGCACAGGAATGACAGAGTGGGTATAGGATACAACTGAGAGGAACTATCTGAACCTGAGGGTTTATACAAGCAGAAAGAAGCTGGGCGTGGTGGTGTACACCTGTAATCACAAGCCTCTAGGAAGCTGAGGCAGGAGGATTAAAAGTTCAAGTCCAGCCTGGGCAACTTAGTGAAACAGTATCGAACTAAGAAATAAGAAAAGGGTTGGGGATGCAGCGCAGTGTGAAGGCTCTGGGTTCAATCTCTAGTAATGGAGAAAGAAAAGACCAATAAAAGCTGGATATGGTAGTGAATGCTTGTAATTCCAGCATTCTAGGAGGCTGAGGCAGGTTCGAGTCCAGCTAGCAGAACTTAGTAACTCAGCTAGGTCTTGTCTCAAAATTTAAAAAAGGAACTGGGGATGTAGCTCAATGCAAAAACCTTGGGTTCAAATCTCCACTACTGGGGGTAAAAAAGACAGAGAGACAGAGAGCAAGGGGAAGAGCAAGTGGTAGTCTCTGACATCCTCAGAGTCAATCAGTGCAGTGGGGAAGAGTGAGCTGCAGTGAGGCCAGAGAGCCCAGTTCCAGGTCACCAAATAACTATAGTAATAGTAAGGTGGGTATGGGGTGAGGATGTAGCTTAATGGTAGAGAACTTGCCTAACATGTATAGGGTCTACAGTTCAATTTCCCTGTTCTAAAAAAAAAAAGCAGTGGGTATCTTTCTTAAAAACTCAAAGTGTCTAGCTGGGCATGGTGGTGCACGCCTATGATTCCAGCACTTGGGAGACTGAGGCAGGAGGGTCAGGGCAAGTTCAAGGGCAGTTTGGGCCACATAGTGAGTTCAGGCCAGCCTGAATTATATAGCAAGACCCTGTATTAAAAGGAAGTTTTTCAAAGTGTCTGATAGGCCTGTATCAGCTTACATTCTTACTTCCCATGAACATTTTTTTTTTTTTTTTTTTTTTGTATAGGGAACCAAACTCAGGACCTTGTGCTTGCTAGGCAAGGTACTGTGCCACTGAGCTATATCCTCAGCCCTCCCATGAACATTTTAAAGCTAACAAGTGCTCCAAAACTCAAATGCTCTGTGATCAAATAAGATGCATGTTCAGTCAGGTGTGGTGGTGCACACCTGTAATCCCAGCACTTGGGAAGCTAAGGCAGAATTTTTGTAATTAATTAAGTTTATTGGTACATTTTAGGTATACATAATGATCACATTCATCACAGGGAATTTGTACCCATACATGATATATCTTGATTGTTCCCCCACCCTCTTCAGCCCCTTGGGTGAGGAGAACTGCTGTGAGTTCAAGGCCAGCTTGGGTTACATATTCAGTTCAAGGCCAGCCTGAACTACATAGTGAAACTTTGTCTCAAAAAAACTGCACGTTCAACATACCCTCTCCTGACAGTCATCAAATACTGTCATACTACAGGCCACAGAAGGAAAGAAAGAACCCGTTTAATACAGTTTAACTGATCAGCAAACAATTATTTACAAAACAGAAGAGGTTTCATTCTTGACACTCCTATAACCATCTCCTAGAAAAGCATCTTCCCAGGGGACATTTGAGAAGCACTTTCTGAGATCTTGGACAGAAGAGTCAGAGCTAGAAGGAGCTCAGTGGCCACTGCCCACCAGCCACTGACAGGAGGCAAGTGTGACCCAGAGGAACGACGGACTGCTCGGGGTTGCACAGTGAGCCCGGCCCGGGGCCCTGACCTACATCACTGCTCCCTCTTGTTTCGCAATACAGTCCAGGCCTTGGAGACCACCTGGGCCAACCCTCCTATTGCCCTGCACAGAGCTTGGAACACATACCTCTTTGTTGATAGAGGTCATAGAAATGCCAAGAGGCTCATCCTAGTTCCTCCCTGCCCCTATCCTTGACTTTATGGCCCAAGACAGTAGTCACTTCACCTTGCAGACTCATCCTCCTCAGTCTCCGAGATGGACACTGCTTTGATTATCAAAAAGAATCCCCTGAAGGGGCTGGGAGCATGCCTCAATGGAGGAGGATGAGCTGAGCATGCACAAGGACTGGCTTCAATTCCTAGCACCAGGACAGGGGATATAGCTCAGTGGCATAAACACCTGCCTGGCAAGTGCAAGGTCCTGAGTTTGATTCCTGATACCAAAAGAAAATACAAAAAACAATTCCTAGCACCACAAAAATAAAGTGAAAGTGATAACAACATAGTAAAATGTAAGTTCTGGAGCCAGAATGCTCTGGTTTGAATCTTGGTCCCACTATCTCCTAGACGTGTAACTGAGCAAGTCATTTAACCTTGCAGGGCCTCAGCTTTCCCCATCCAGGGCACAGAGACAATCATCCTAGTGCCTTTCCATAAGGAATAAGGGAAAGGAGCTCTCATATGTAAAACACTCAGCACCTGGTAGATGCCACGACTATTCTCACAGCCACGAAAACTGAACTCAGGGGTGACCTGTAACCTGCCCGAGGCTAGCAGGTGGCCAGGTCTGGCTGACTGCAAAGCCTGCCTGCTGCCCCTACTCTACTGCTAGCTTTGACGCGGCAGGAGGAACATGGTGGTCCCAAGCACCAGCCCGGCCACCCCATGTACCTGTGAGTTTCCACTTCCAGCCAAAAGCTGAATCATCTGCTGCATGAGCTGCTGCTGGGCACTGGACGTCCCCGTGGGAGGAGACGTAGCTGGTGTGCCTGGCGAGGAGGCGGGGGCCTCAGCTGTAGACCCAGAGTTGCTGCCTGCCGAGGGTGCCGGAGTCCGGGGCATCCCAAAGGACCCAAGACTGCAGGCAGGAGACATCGAGAGATAAGAGTGGCATCCAAGAAATGAGAATATGAGATCCAAAAAGGAGAACAAGGGCTGGGGTATAGCCCAGTGGCATGGTGCCTGCCTGGCATGTGCAAGGTCCTAAGCTCAATTCATGGAACCAAAAGAAAAGAGCAGAGACACCAGGACAGTTCAGAGAAAGGCAGAAAGGGATGAAGAAGAATGACAGCCAGAGCCATGCTGCCCATCTGCTTACCTAGGTACCAGCCCAGGGGCTTCTGTCTGCAAGGTCTGTAGTCCCTGCTGGATCTGCAGTAACGCCTGCATGGCGCGGGGATTGGTGAGGATAGACAGTGACTCCGGATTTTGCATCTGGTAAACAAACAGAGAAAGGTGACAGGAGGTGGCAGGAAAGAGGAGGCAGCCTAAAGGCTGAGTCCAGAGCTAAGCTCTGCCCCTACTTTAACATCTCCCCACTAAGACTTATGGCCAGCTCTTTCCATCCACCCGCATCCAGCAGGCTTCTCCCTCACCTGTTGCAGGAAGACGGGGAGCTGCAGGCGGAGCTGCTCCTGCAGTTGGGGGTTCCCCGCGAAGAGTGGCACGTTCACCATCATCTGCCAGAGGGAAGGTAGAAGGAGAGGGTCTGGGCCTTCCCATCCCAAGAATTCCCCTACACCTCAGGAACCTTGGCACCCCACCGCTGCTGGAAGTCTGGCCAGCATTTCCAAGGGTCTCAAAGATTCTGAAGATCGGTGTGGGACAGTGAGAGGAAATGGACTATGATCTGAACAACGAACAGTCAGGAATCAGGCTGTTTGGCCCAGGTTCGATGATGATGATGTGTGTGTGTGTCGCGGGGATTTAAACATTTTCAAGTATATGGTGTTTACTGTGTGCTGTGCCACGTTCTAAACGTGTGTGTGGGGGGGCACTGGGGATCAAACCCAGAGCCTTATGCATGCAAGGCGAGAGCTCTATCACTGAGCCACATCCCCAGCCCATGTTCTCAACATTTGACATGTATTAACTCCTTTGATCTTCACAACTCAATGGGGCAGGAACTAATGTGAGTACCACTCTGTGGATGAAGAAACTGGGAGGTTAACTAACTTGCTCAGCTCACACAGCTGGGAAGTGACAGAGCTCAGGATACAGGCCCAGGCAGTCTGGCTCCAGAACCATTTGACCAAAGTGGTTGACCCCACCCCGAGCCCCTCCCCAGCAATACTCCCTTGTGCTGGCTGGATACCTGAGCAGCAAAGTCAGGGTTCTGGGCCAGCGTCTGCATCATGCTGCGCATGTAGGGGGCCGAGATCACATTCTGCATGAGCTGGGGGTTCTCAGAGATCTGCTGCAAGAGCGCCTGCATTTCTGGGCTGTTGAACACCCCTAGCGCATGGGCAAAAACACACAAAACAGGAGAGAAGGGTCCAGATGGAGACCAGACACCCCGCTTCAGTTCACCTCACTGCAGACACTGATTACACAGGTCTGAAATACGTGTTACAGGGCTGCCTGAGAACTGTGGTGGTGGCCCCAGGCTCCCCTGAGTCCTAGGCCAGCTTGCCCGGTTTTGGCCTGGACCTCTCCCATAGATTCTAAGGACAAGCCAGCTAGAAACTAAATTTCTGCCCTTCTGGACTGTCCTTGCCACAAGCTCCAATCATGTCTCAGTGGGAAAGGACTGGCTGCATGTTACCTAGATCAATGGCTTTCAAACTTGGCTGAGCAGCAGAGACCCTTTCCAGAGTCAAATCTCACTCAGAAACCAAGCATGTCAGTGGCCCGGTTCATTTGTGCTGGGGCAGGAGGCCTGGAGCCTCTTGCAGTCAGTCTTTTCTTATCCTATAGACCAGGACATCCAGGCCCCACAGGACTCAGGAACACAATTTTAAAACCATGGATCAATTTCCAGTCCTTATTTTATAAATAAGGCAACTAAAGCACACAGAGGAAAGGAACTTTCCCAATCAAGATATTCTCCAGCGTACAGAGAAATCAGGGCATCTACCAAAGATTTCCCCAGGGCACGTGTACAGTCATAGTCCAGATAAACTGCTCATTACCTTAGGCTGTGCAGTGCACAACATGCGATTCTGTATATGGCAACCAGGCACAGCCCTTTCCTCCAGCCTCACATCTGCTTGTCCCTAGGCCTGCCCTGATTCCTCTCCAATCACCCCCACCTCCCACCCCTACCTCCCATCTGACCCATTTACACCAAAAGTGCTCAAGGAAGTGGGGGCTGGTTAACCCATGAACCAACACTCCGGTCATTCCCAGGGACATAAGGACACTAGAACATGACTAGAACCAAGTCTCAGCCTCTAAAGGGTGAGGCCACTACACAAGCTGCTGAGGACCCCCTGTAGCTTTTTTTTGAGACAGGATTTCGCTGTATAGTCCAGGCTGGCCTTAAACTCATTATGTAGCCCAGGCTGGCTTGGAACTATTGATCCTCCTGCCTCTGCCTCCTAAATGCTGGGATTAGAGGCGTATACCACCACCATGCACTGCTTCTCCCTGTAGCTTTCATATAGTCTCGCCTCTTCTGGAGCAGTGTGAACCCCATTCAGTTCCAGGGCAGAGGGGGCTGCCCTGGTGACCCAGCTAAGCTCCTCACACCCTAGGACATACCTGACCCCAGGCTAGCCGCATTGATCCCAAAGGGGTTCGAGACTGTCGGGTGCACCTGGCTGGTCCCCGATCCTCCGGTGCCCTCCCCACCGGACCCGGGGGCCTGGGAGGTGGGGGGCGAGGGGCTCCAGGGGTTAGGGAGGGGCTCTCGATTCTCAGTCCGCAGAGGCTGGGAGGACGAGCTGTCGGAGTTCCCGGCCAGGGAAGAGAAGGGATTGTTGCCAAACTGGGAGGAGGGAAAGGTTTCGGGTTAAGGATTGAAACAAATCTGGGACAAGGGCTAGGCCCTTCCTCTCCTCTCACCTAACAGCCTCCCCTTCCCCATGAAAGGCAGACAGATCTAAAACCTAGAACACCCACAGTTCAGTTCTCACCCCCAGGGGACAGCTCCACCCTTGCCCGAAGGGTGTCTGATGTTAACGACTGGATAGAGGAACTCTTAGAAAACTGGAAACTGCCCTTCTCCCCTGCAGGCTCTAAAAGTTAGATCTCTAATCTCTGTGGCCCACAGCGCTTTACACAAGCTTTTCCTGTAGCTCTCCAGGGGCAGACAATGTTGGATTTACCTTTGTACCCGCAGCCACACTGCTAGAAGATGCTCAATAAGTAAGTGCTGACTGGACAGGGGCGGCTTGGACCCGACTCCCACTTGACCCACATCTGTCTCTGGCTCCCCATTTCCCAGCCACCTCAGTCCAGCCCTAACTCCCTGGAATCCCCTTCCTCACACCCAGGTCCCTTGCCTGCCATTGTCTGCCCATCCAGGCAGACCACAGGCACCGGAATGCAGCCCTCTCCCGGGTTCCTCCTTTGCCTCCTCTGGGTGGGTGCCCCGTCCCCGCCCACCTCTTCACTGGCTGCTCCAGGCCCATACCCCTTGGTTCCCCACCAGGTCCCCAGGCGGGCTCCCCACTGTGTTCCCCAGCATTGCTCCAGTCTGGTTTATGGCGCACAGCACAGAGGCAACACAGAGCCCTTTCCCTCTGAAGATTCAGCATCCTAAACAGGGCTCTGTCAGAGGGGTGTGCTGAGGGAGGGAGCCCCAGACACCACCTCCCGCCCTCAGCCTTCCAAGACTGGAGCTGGGCAGCTCCCTCTCTGAGTTCTCAGGTCGTCCGGCAGGCAGGAGGTGGCCAGCAGACTGAGCCCTTCCCCACTCTGGGCTTCCTGTCCAGGCTTCTGTTATGCACAGTGGGACAGGGCTGACCAACGACCTCCCCACTCCGCGCTGTGGCTCTTCTCCTCTCCCTCCCCACCTTTACCAGATGCCGGTTCAGATAACAGGGCTCACAGGCCAGGGTTCCTGCACTGAGCTTTTCATCTTTGTCCCTGCTTTAAATTTCCTGCTCTGGAAACCCGTCTAGCACCTCACTACACCCAGTTCTGAGTCTTGCTTTGCTCTTCCAGGTACACCCTAAAGACTGCATCTCTTTTCTTGAATTGTCCATAGTGATAGCAGCTGCCACTTACTAAGCACCTACTATGTGCCTGCCACATTTATTCTAATGCTTATAACATCCCTCTAATATACTAGTTCTCAAAGTGTGGTCCTAGGATCCCCTGCAAGGTTTAAAATGGTTTTCATAACATGACGTTCGGTGGAATGAATGCAGATCTGAGAAGCCAGCTGTCTTAACAGTGAGCCAGACTTTAAGGAGATCTGCAAAAATATAAATTAAGACCATGCTTTCCTCTAAAGCTTTGTTTTGGAAAATAAAGATTTTTTCAAAAGAATGTTATTTATAGTATCTTGTCATGAATTGTTATTGTTAAATGAGTTAAATATTTAAAAATGTTATCAGTTTTTAAATTTCTGACACAGTGAATGCTGATAGATTAACCCATAAAAACAAAAGTTAGAGTTCTTCATAACTTTTTTCTTTTTTTCTCCCCATAACTTTTAAGCATATGAAAAGGTCCAGAGACCAAATACTTGAGAGCACCTGCTATAATACATCCACTTTTTTTTTTTTTTTTTAAATGAGAGAGGATCTTGCTATGCAGCCCAGGCTGGCCTTGAACTCACTATGTAATGAAGGTTAGCCTTGAACTTGAGGTGACTCACCTGCCTCAGCCTCCTGAGTGCTGGGATTACATATGTGTGCCACCATGCCCAGCAATATGTCCACTTTTAAGAGTTTCATGCTTGACCAATCAACTTAGGTAGCCAGACACTTATAATATCTCCACTTTTAAAACAAGGAAGCTAAGACTCAGAGAAGGCACGTAATTCACTTCAAATCACACCACTAGGAAATGGGGGTGCAGCCATTTAACTCAGGCTTGTGGCTGCAAAGTGCTATGCTCTTTTAGAAAAGTGGTTCTCACCCTTGACTGTGCATCAGAATCCGCAGGAGTGTACGCTATAAACTCTTTTCAACTATTTTTTTTTATTGTTTTTAACCAGGTACGACCATTAGTTTGATTTAAGAAAAGTTTTTCAATTACTTATGGAAAAATTTACAAATTCCTTTAAAAATTAATAGTTGACTCCTAAAGCAGTTTCTGAAATTTCAAACAGCAATGTCAAGAATAACCAAGACAGTTTTGAAGAATACAATGGAGAATTTCACGCCACCAGATACCAAGACTAAGACAATGAGAAATCACTGTAGGGATAGAAAAACACACCAGGGAACCGAGGGTCAGCAAAAGACACACTCATCTGGGAAACTTGGTGCAGGACAGAGACAGCAAGACTGATTGAGCTGTGGGAGGCACAGGCCATTCAGGCCATTCCCACCCCCTTCTCAGCGAAAAAGTCAGGTGAGGTCCTGTCCTCACACCTGGGTTCTGGCTAATGGAGAAAATTTATCAAATTACACATTGATCGTATGTGCACTTTTCTTTTCCCCGTCTTCTACTCCCTTTTGCAGTATTAGAAAATGAACCCAGGGCCTCACAAGAAGCTATATTCCCATTTCCTTTTTATTTTTTAAAATTAATCAATTAGGGCTGGGGATATAGCTCAGTGGCACAACTGCCTGCCTGGCAAGCACAAGGTCCTGAGATCGATTCCCAGTACCAATAAATAAATAAATAAAATTGAATTAATCAATTAACTTAATTTATTTATTTATTTTTTTTGGGGGGGTGACAGGGTCCACTACATAGTTCAAGCTGGTCTTGAACTTGCTTAGGTAACCCAGGTTGGCCTCTAATTCACAGCAATCCTCCTGTCTCAGCTTCCCAAGTGCAGGGATTACAGGGGCACCACCATGCCCAGCAAAAATACTTTTAAAGTGTTTTATTTTTGTGTGCTTTTTAAAAAACAAAAAACACAGAGTCTTTCTGGGCATGGTGGTGCACACCTGTAATCCCAGCACTTGGGAGGATGAGGCAGGAGGATCGCTGCGAGTTTGAGACCAGCCTGGACTACAAAGTGAGTTCAAGAGTTCAAGGCCAGCATGAACATGGTGAGACCCTGTCTCCAAAAAAAAAAAAGACAAAAACAAAACAAAAGACAAAGTCTTGCTGTGTAGCCCAGGCTGGTCTTGAACTTGTGGCAATTCTGCCTCAGCGTTCCAAGTACTGGCATTACAGGCATATACCACCACACCTGCTCAATTAATTAGTACTAGAGACTGAACCCAGGGAGTGCTAAGATATATCCCCACACTTTTTCTTTTATTTTGAGACAGGGTCTCGCTAAGTTGCTCTTGCTGGCCTTCAACCTGCAATCCTCTTGCTTCAGCCACCCAAATAGCTGGAATTATAGACATGTGACATCTGGCATATTCATAGTTTTTTGTAGTTAAATTATTCTTGGGTTTTTTTTGTTGTTGCTGTTTTTTGTTGTTGTTGTTGTTGTTTTTTGGTACTGGGACTTGAACTTGGGACTTTGCACTTGCCATGGAGGTGCTTGTGCTGCTGAGCTAAACCCCCGGCCCCCTGCTTTTTTTTTCTTTGTCTTTTTGAGACAGGGTCTCACTATGCAGTTCAGGATGGCCTTGAGTTCACTTTGTAGCTGAGGATTGCTTCAAGTTCAAGGTCAACCTGAGCTACCAACCTCAAGCTAGTAGTTACCTCTGAGGAAGGAATGAGAGGCATATGATTGAGGAAGGTATGTGAATACTACAACTCTACCTATATGACTTACTTGCAGATATTATATATGTGTAGGAAAATACACAAGGTACTAACAGTATTAGTGGCTGTAAAGGTAGGAAAGGGGTGGCTGGGAGATAGAAATAGAAGAATCCCTTTTGTATTCCTTTTTTTTTTTAAAAGCTTAGACAATTTCTCATACTTTTTGAATACCCTTTTGTTTACTTTGTGTAATTTCTAAATTTTGAGACATACAGATACATAATGTGTTTAGAGTACAGTTAAGTTTTAAAAAACCAGTGAGGCCAGTTATGGTGGGGCACACCTGTAATCCTAGCCCTAGGGAGGTTGAGGCAGGAGGATCCTTGCAAGTCCAAGAACAGCCTGGGCTACAAAGTGAGCTCAAGGCCAAACTGAAATGCACAGTGAGACTCTTGTCTCAAAATGACAAAAAATAAAAAAATCCAGTGAGATTCTACATGGCAACATGGATACAAGATGGATACAATACTTTTTTTTTTTTTTTTTGAGACTGTTCTATTTTTACCTATACTTTTTTATATACTTGGAATGAACTCATAAAGCATTTTTTTTAAGTACATAATCCGGGGCCATGACCCAAGACTGATTCAAAACACAGCCCAAAGCTGGGGACCAAGAATCTCACCATTATTGAGCTCACTGAGTGATTCTGACACTGGTGATCCATGGACCACACTTGAGATACACTGTACTAGGGCTGGCGTTTGGTCCCAGGTCTGCCCCACAACCCTTCAGCACCTCATGTAAGAAGTTTATCAGCAAAATGTCCAGTCCCTCAGACATTATACCTCACCCACTTTCCTCAGGACCTCAGCTACGTTGTGCCCTTGGTCCATGCCAAATTGGACCACCCCTGGCTCTGCACTATGGAGAACATCTTTAAGTCAAGGCTCATCCCTTCAGGTACTGGGGAAGGAAAGAACAGCCCAGCATGGCCTGCCTTGTGGGTAGGGAATCCTGAGCCTGGGCAGCCTCTTCTACTGCCCAGCTCTTGGCCTACCTGTTCCCTGGCAGCACTGAACATGGGCTCCTGGATGTCCGTGTACATGCGGCGGAGAGCATTATACCCTCCGGGGATGCTCTCAAGATTGCTCAGGGCCCGGTCCTGGTTCCGCATCATCTCTTGCATCATGGCTGGATTCCGAGCAAGCTCCATTGTCTGGGGAAGACAGAGAGATGGGATGGAGCCTACCCAGGGGGCATCAAACCAGGAGGCTCTGAGGAGGGGAATCTGTGTCAGTAACTACTTCCTGTACTGTAATCTACGTCCCACTCTGCCTCCCTGTGGGGATTCTGGTTGGCTTTTTCTAGTGGAAGACAATGAGCTCCTGGTTGTAGGGAGATAGGAGCTTCCCTCTCTCGAGATCGGGGGAGGCATAGAAGTATCAGGGTGCCCACAGAAACCGAGCAGGAAGAGATACAACAGGAGAGGCAGCAATGAGAAAACTAGCATCTCTTGAGTACCTTCTACACGTAGGCCCTGGGCTAAGCAATCTGCAGAATTCAAATGACGTAATCCCACAATAATCACCCCAGGCAGGTATTCTGGCCCCCATTTTGCAGATGAGAAAACAGGCAGAGATATTCACAGACTTCCTGCCCCAAGATACACAGCCAGTTAATGGCAGAGATAGGTTTCAAGGGTAGGTTGGCAGCTGGGCATGGTGGCGCACGTCTGCAATCCCAGCACTTGGGAGGCTGAGGCAGGAGGATCGTTGCGAGTTTGAGGCCAGCCTGGGCTACAAAGTGAGCTCAAGGTCAGCCTGAACTGCATAGTGAGACCCTTTCTCAAAAAGACAAAAAAAAGAAGGGTAGGTTGGCTTCACTGACCAAGACCATACTGTAAGTGACAGGTTGGGCTGGGAAAAGTTCAGGCTGGAACAAAGCTAAAGACACCCTAACTCCCACCCGCCAGTCTTTGCCTGATTGGATCTTTGTTTTTAAGTATGGAGGGTTGTACCCAGGGCCTGGTACATGCTAGGCAGGTGCTCTACTACTGCACTACACCCCAGCCTGACTGAACCTCGACCAACACGGAAGATCGAGACTTTCTTTGTTGAAGCCCAGAGCTTATTTTCAATTAGGGGGTCTCCTCTGTCAGCACCAGGAGAGAGTTCATGGTAGAGAAAGTGAATGTAGCTTCTGTTCATGTCCTACTTGGAAGGTCTTCCCTCTCCTTTCTTCCTAATCTGCCCCATCCCTGCTTCTTCTAAGATACTTTTACAGACAGATATACGGGGCCTCACAGAATTCTGACCTCTTGTCCTATAATTCATTCATCTATTGAAGGATGACTATATAGCAGGCAGAGTTATAGTCTGGGAACAAATATTTTAAAACCTTTGCCCTTATGGAACACCTGGAAGGTACCTTCTGGTAAGTCCAGCAAGATGTGCACAACTTTGCTGGGAAGACCATCTGTCCTTGTCCCCTGGTAGGTTGGAGCCTGAGATGGTACTCCTAAACACCATGGCTGAAATGGCCTCTGCAGGGTCTCCTTTCCCCACAAGGCCTGCCCAGCCACAACATTCCCCAAACATCCCATAATCTTTTACTCCCAAGCCATTGCCTTCACTGTCCTACGGCCCTGAATACACATTTCTTGCACCCACTTCCCTCACTGGGAACTGATTTGATGATACTTCTCCTCAAAGGCCTCTTCCACACCCCAGGGTATGGTGAGACGTCATTCCTAACTCTGATGATCCTCAGGACGTTGTGATTATTCTCTGGGCAGTACTGACCACACTCTACTATAATTACTCATCTACCTGTCCCACTGCCCTCTAAGACCAGTAGTTCCCGAAAAGCTATGCCTGTCTTTCCACCCCTGAACCTCAAGTGTTCAAACTATGCCTGCCAATGAATAAATGAACAAATCAGTGTAGGACAAGATAGGAAAGAGTGGGCAGGGCACGGCTGGGCACCAGATGTCCTCTACTCCTCTGGCCTTCTCTGTACCCACCTGCCTCATGAGCTCAGGGTTGTTGAGCATGTGGCTGATCTCTGGATTCCGCTCCATCAGCTGCTGCATCTGGGGGTTGGCCATGATCATGTGGCGCATGAGGTCAGGGTTAGACATCATATCCTGGACCAAGGGGTTCTCCATGATCTGTGACAGCATCTCAGGGTTGGACATCAGCTGCCTCTGCATTTGCTGCTGCAGCTCCATGAAGTTAGCAGAGCCAAGGCCCAGGCTGCCCAGCCCCAGGATGCCCCCAAAGCCAGCTGTAGGGAGTGCACAGGGTCACAGTCTACCCCCAAAACCCCGCCCCCACCTAGCACAGCCAATGAATTCAGGTCTTCACAATGGGCCCTAAGTCTCTCACAGTTTCCCTCTTCTCCCAACCCTGATCTGCTCTGGGCACAGAGATGTGAGACCTCTTTGATGGCGACTGCTGAGCAGAGGGGAGGTGATCAGCAGGAACCTGCTGAATGAGTAAAGAAGTACTCTTCATGTGCCTACCATTTGGGGCCAGGGTTTTCCAGTCTCCTCACCCAAGGCTCCCACATTCCTAGTTCCCTTTCTACCTTCACTACGAACAGTTATGCCCCCCGCCCCCCCGCCAGACATCCTCACGGTCTGGTTTCCTCCCCAGGTTAGCTCAAGCACCAATGTCTGGAACCCTATGTTCAAGTGTCCCTTATCTCCATCTGACTAGGAGCAGGGACAGTGTTTCTCCTCCTCTTGGCTCTCCCCCAACCCCCAGCCCAGCACAAGACTGTGCTCTCCTCCCTGCGGGCTTACAGAGTATAGACGCAGTAGCATTGGGGGGTCCCTCCCCAGCAGTCCCTGGGGAGGGGCCCCCTCCACTGCTCCTCCGACTCCCACTGCCAGCATCCGAAGCGGTGCTGCCAGAGGTGGAAGGCTGGGCAGGGGTGGTAGGTGAGGCAGGGGTGGTGGAGGGTGCTGCGGCAGGGTCAGGAGTGGACGGGGAAGAAGCGGTGGCAGCAGCTGGATCTTGAGTCCTGAGGACAGAGACAGGAGAATCCTGGTTGGAGTGAGCACAGGAAGAAGAAAGGGACCAGAGCACTCTGTGCAGCTCGCAGCTACTGCCAGCCCAGGTTGCCTCCTGAACAGGCTGGGTGGCAGGATAGCTATAAACCAGGGAGAGGAGGAAGTCTCTACTACCACCTGCCTTTGGGGCACGGTGCGAGTGGTAATTCAGGTCTCCTTCCCAGGAGGGGAGATAGTAAGCACCCTGGAGCCACCTGCTGGGCCTGGGCAGCAGGCCTCTAAGTACAGCTGAGCAATGGGTAAGAAGGTTCTGGGTAGGAAGTCCCAAGCCCAATCCAAAGCTAGGTCTGCTTGTGCCCTCAACTTACTTCTGAGGGGTCTTGATGACCAAGTGCACAGTGAGCCCGTCCTTAATCCCATGCTGGTTCAGTGTGTCTCCATCCTTGAGGATCTTGCCTGCGAAGATCAGGACCAGCTGATCCTGCTGAGCTTTAAACCTCCGGGAGATTTCCTCTTTGAACTGTGATGAAGAGGCAGAGATCACTGTTGAGGCTGCCTGGGTTCCTCCTACTGGGGACCCTGCCTCTTTTTCTAGAGCCTCTGTATTTCCTTGCTCTGACCTCTTCGGTCTTCACAGGAAGTCCTTCCTGCAATATCAGCTGCCTCCCTCCAGCTGCAATAAGAAGCTGGGGCGGGGGGCAGGTAGGGATTACACCTGGGGTCTCACATACACTAGGCAAGTGCTCTACACTGAGCTACATACCTAGTCCTTTGTAATTTATTTGGAGACAGGGTTTCAATAAGTTGCCCAGTCTGTCCTCAAACTTACAATCCTAAGCAGTTCCTTTCTTAATCAAGCATAGGGACCAGTAACAGCCCCTTTTCTCAACTCCAACCTGGGCTCTCTCACCCTAGAAAGGCTTTGCTGCCCCCTCTCCAGCTGCAGTCCCTCCACCCTGTCCCCTGTGAGGGTGCTGCCTGTGCAGCCTGCTCCATCCCAACTCCTTCAGCAGCTGTGGACCCAGGCACTGCTCTTCTTTGATTCCCAGTTTCTTCCTCTTTTCCTTTCCAGCTTTCTCACAAATACATCCCAGTTACTGAGCACTAACTATTCACACATTAGCAATCTTATACATTAATTCATTGTCTGTTGGGGGGGGGTTTACAGAAATGGAACTCAGGACCTTGCACTTGCCAGGCAGGTGCTTGTGCCATTGAGTTATATCCCCGGCCCCTTATCGGCATTTTAAAGATGAGGAAACAGGGCCGGGGATATAGCTCAGCAGCATAACGCCCGCTTGGCAAGCGCAAGGTCCTCAGTTTGATTGCTGGTATGGAAAAAAAAGTTAAAGATGAGGAAACAGAGAAGAATCAGGGAGGTTAGGTAGCTTGTTCTGAGGAGATTGGAACTCTGGTCTTGCTACCAAAGTCCTGGTTGTCTCTCAGGGCTGTTTTCAAATTCAGCCTTGCCCAGAGCACTCTTTAAATTCTAGAATTTAGTGATTTTATACGGGGTTGTGGGGACAGTGATAACACCAATGGCTAGCCCGGCAAATTTTCCAATCCTATCTCTCCAAATTCTTTGTTTTGTTTTTTGAGACAAGGTTTCCATATGTAGTTCAGGCTGGCCTTGAACTCGCTGCGATCCTCCTGCTTCAGCCTCCCGAGTGATGGGATGACAGCCTTGTGCCACTACGCCCGGCTATCTCTCCAAATTCTATCAGCCCCTCCAAAACAAAACAAAACGCACACTCTAAGTAAAAATAGTGCACTTGCTAAGCAGAGGAGCTCCCAGATCCCTATCTTCCAACCAGATGGCCTATCTTAAGCCCCGCCTATGTGAAATTCTGGAGCAGTCACAGGCAGTGACAGAGACAGGCACTAGTCCCGCATTCACTCATTCAACAAAATTTTATTGAGCACCTACTGCACTCCGTAAATCGCAGAAGCGCTGAGAACCCACGATGACTACCTCGATTTGGGAGCTCGGGGAGCGTAGGAAGCGCCTGGGCAGAGGGTAATTCCGGGCTTAGGCTAGATGTTCTCGGGGTACACAGTAGGCGCCAGCGCTCCTCCAGCCCCCGCCCGTCCTCGCGGGTTAGCAACTCGCCGGGGCCGCACTTGCTGTCTCGGTGCCTCGAACCCGACCAGCACCCGGGGCGTACACTCGCCTCAAATCCAGGGTCCTACCGCCGTCCGGTGCACTGCGCGCTCTGCCCACTCTCCACCACGCCCCCAGCCCTGGCCGCACCGCCAAACCCGCGCCCCAACCCGCGCCACGCTCCGCAGACCTCCCCTCGAAGGACGCCCCCTTCCCTCTCTCCCCACCCGCCTCCCGTCGGGGCCGTCCAGGGCCCCCCACCCCTCTTCCGCACTCCTCGGCCCCCTCCCTCCGCACTACCTCCTTGACTGAGGCTCGATCGCAGATCACAATTTCCTCCTTGTCCTTGGGGGTCTTGACGGTGACCCGAATAGGGGGCCTCGCCTCCGCCCCGCTCGGCTCCGCCATGCCGCCGCCGCCACCCGGCCGCCCG